GAGAATTACCTAGCGAGCTCGGCACCGAGCAGCCCTCTCATCGAGGTGAACAGCTGAAAGGTGCAGAACTGCTCCATCCGGGACGAAGCCGAGAATTCATTCATTTAAAGGCCTCTTTTTGATCTCCCAAATCCTATAAGTGAGAATTTAAGAAGGAGGGGCCTACAGGGAGAAGGGAGGAAGCCCTGGCACTTGGAGTTGCTTTGATCCCAGGGCTTTTTAATTACCACGCTGGGCTCGTCCGGATGGCCGTGCAGGGGGAACGGAGCAGAACAGCCCGATGGACGGTCTCGGTCTGTATGTGCGCATCTAGTGCCCTGTTTACGGGCCATTTTCCGGAACGGTCTGTATACATCATTCCTGTAGGCATGAAATCGTCAGCACAGATAACGTCCACTAGGAAACCTGAGGCAGTAAAATAAATTGCCATAGATCAACATTCTTGACAAATGAGCCAAACCTGTTCCCTCTGAGGATGAGGCTGCTCAGTGGTAAAGTGGGAGATGAGGTTTTATAAATGCTGAAAATGAGTGACTCTCCAGGTCACATGATCTTGGACAACTTACTGACCTTTCTCAACATCCGTTTCGTCATCGCATAACAGATATTTCACCTACCTCACTTGACATCCCTGAGAACCAAATTTTTAAATGCATTAAGAAGCTTAGCACAGAGCACACGACCCTCTAATTCAGAGACATCAGAACACCGTAAGAGAAGTTCATGCTAAAATCTGAACTTCACAAATTCTGCGTCTTCACTGAGATCTAGCACATGGAATAGGAAACTGGAAATACTTTATACTCATAGGATGAAGATTCCAGTTTATAAATGGTAGCTTTTTCCCAGCAGAGAGTCTTTCATTGCCCTTTGATCTTGAAGTGCAGAAATTAACTCTACCACAGTTACAACTGTTTTATTTGTTACATCATGCTCATGACTACCAATGACATCTTGTCTTGGTTACAGTCTATAGGTACCGTAGATACCTCTCTATCCATACACCTATGTATGTTTATTTAAACACTTTCTAAATCATTCAGTTTTCAAGCTTGAAACCAACCATGGGAATAATCCAGTACAGAGGTTGGCAAACCACAGCCCATGGGACAAATGGGGTCCCAAACCTGTTTCCATAAAGTTTGATTGGAACTCAGCCACACCCAATGGTTTATGTGTTGGCTACAGCTGCTTTCTCCACGTGACAGAAGTGAGTAGTTGTGACAGAGCGAAAAATATTTACTATCTAACCCAAGTTTTCCACGCCCTTCCCTCAGGTGAGAAACTGAGGCCAGGAAAGAAGTGGCCTGTTAAGGTGCCTGCCTCAGTGGTATCACCATGCGGTCATGCCCAGTACGAGGGTCTGGGACACCTCCTCTTACCTTCCTCCAACGAGGGGACCAGAACAGCTACCCAGGGGTGAGGACGGCACCCAAGTCAGCAGAGTTCTTATGCCGATGGCCGCACTTCATGATCTCATCTTAAATATAAACAAGTAATGACATCCCTAACCTGGGGGTCAGGGGGAGGGTGGGTAAATCTTCTGGGAGGAAGGTGGGAGAAAAGCAAAAAAGGGTTTACAAGCTTCCAACTTGAGTCATTTCAAGCTCTCAATGTGCCATCCTGCACCCACTCCGCTTACAGTAATGACATGTTCAGACACCCTTAGCTCAGAGCCCCAAGACATCGATCTTACCCATCTTGATTGCCACCTGAAATAAACAGCCGGAACAGCTGCCACCTCAGGCAAGATGGGAAGAGGAAGAGGAAAGAAGCATGACAACGAGGGAAACCGAAAAAGAAGGTGGCAAACTCTGATGGAGCCTGTGGAAAGATGGACAGTTCTAGACTTGGAGGAGGTAGGGTGTGAATTCCGGCTGTTATACTGCCTTACCTGGGTGACCTTTGCTGAGACTTCACCTCCCTGACCTGTATTGTCCACCTTTGTCAAATGGGCTGGATGACACCAAAATCCGCTGGGCAGAAGCAATGAGGCCATGTAGGCCCAGGTTCCTGGCACTGTCCCTGGGCATCCAGAGGGGACACCATTTTTTCTTCTCTTTTGCACCCTCCCCACCCTAAGTCTATCTTGGGGGTTGATCAGCAGCTGGAACGGGCTCAGGGTTTGGGTTCTATTATCAGACAAGCCTAGAGGAGAAGTCTGTGAACTTTCATAAGGCTGCAACCTTGAGTCAAAGGTGCAGTCCCACCAAGACTCCATTTAACAATCTACAAAATGGGCAGTACACCCACCAGCATCCCAGAGAAGAATTGAGTGAGATAACATAAGTCAAGGGCCTGGCCCGTATCCAACACTTAACACGTACTCACTAAATTACTCACTGAATTACACCTTACTAATGTGCAGTTAACCAACTGAAAAGAGCCCCTAACAGCTTGGCACAGTCGGGAGTGTGTGCCTATGCGTGAGTATCCTTTATGCAAGTGTGTGTGCGTGTGTTTTCCAACTCCTTCAATCAGTTTGTCAATTTACTGTTACTCCTTTCACAGCCACTGGATTTACTCAGCATCCCTGAGGTCCAGTAGCAGGGTCTCCCCTCCTTTGACCATTCTGGAGTCAAATGAATTATACCAGAATCCTGAGAGGTGGTGGGCTCTGCCCAAGGGAACACACGTCACACCAGCCGCCAGCCGAACGAGGAATAAGCCATTCTGAAGACAGACCCAGATAACACACAGAGCATATGTACGCAACAGGCCACTAACACATGACTATACAGAGTGTGAGGGTTGTGATACGTTCAATGGCCTCCTTAGTCCTTTAATAAAACACTTGATAGGTTTATGCATCCTGCAGGAATCCGCAAAATTAACTGAGCGGCTTCAGACCCGGCGAGTGCCAAGCCAGGGAAGAGTCTGTGGCCGCCTCCCAGTCAAGAGGACGGCTGTTCCCAGGGCAGGGATGGTCACTGCTGTGGGGTAATAAAACACTTGATAGGTTTATGCATCCTGCAGGAATCCGCAAAATTAACTGAGCGGCTTCAGACCCGGCGAGTGCCAAGCCAGGGAAGAGTCTGTGGCCGCCTCCCAGTCAAGAGGACGGCTGTTCCCAGGGCAGGGATGGTCCCTGGTGTGGGGTCGCCCCCCCCCCCCCACCACCAACTGCCGGTGGACTGAGTCACAACGCTAAGCGTTAAGGAAGAACAATGGAAAGACAAAGAGAGAGAAAGGAGAGAGAGAGGGAGAGACCCAGAGCTGGGCATGTGCGGAGGTGTGGTGAGTATGAGCCTGTGTGGAAAATTCTAACAGCCCATCTGGGCAGCATCAACTTCCCCGACACCCGCAAATAAGCCCATGAGATTCCAAGGCAGGTTACGGCTCGAAAAAGAAATCCCACCTCATGTTTGCAAACACTACCTCCGGCCTGGTTTTAAAGGCAGAACGGTAGTAAAGAGGGTTCGCACTCCAGAGCCTTCCATTACGCAAGCTGGGTTTGTCTCATTAAATTATTTCCAGTCTCTCTCCCTAGGCAGGGTGGGGCTGAGGGATGGACCAATCCCCCTTAATGCTTTAAATCAGTCTCGAAGAGTAGCGCCATAGTGTACACAACCACCAACACACCCAGCTATTTTTTTAGAATCTGCCAGAATGAATCAGCCCCCAACCGGCAATGCCAGACAGTGCCGTGGGGAAGGAGTCTTTCATAACCGACCCAGAAGGGCAGCTGAGTGCCATTCCAAACGCAAGGCTGGGCTGGAGGAGGCTGGGTTCTCTGAAGCATGGTCTCCCGTCCATGCAGAAATTGATTAATACCAGAGACAGGAAAATCTCTATTTTGAGGCTAAAGAGAAGTCACAGCACTCATCCCAGAGAGCAGCTCACAACTGGACACTCCTGGAGATGGGTCATGGCTGCCCATTGCCTTGGGCAAACAAATGAAAGCACAGAACTTTCAGACTGGCCAGTGGGCGGCAATGCCTTTGTACCACCCAGGACAAGTGTGACAGGTGTCATGGGGCAGGTGAGTGGCAGAGCTTAGAACAGCCGCGGGGTTTTCTCAGGATGCCTCGGCAGCCCTCTGCCACATCAGTCCTTCGGTGGAGGCGGGAGACACATGACGAGACACACAGAAGAAAACGATCCCACACCTGTGCTCCCAGGACAATGTCCACAACTGCTCAAAGATGCAGGAGGCGTAGGCCCTGTGCACACACTCACCTGCCAGCCTCCTGGGACACAGGAGCCGAAGGAGGGGCACCACACAAACGCCAGCAAGCTGCCCTGCTGGAGCCCTGGGGCGACAGAGTCATTGGAGGAATGTGTCACCCTGGGGCAGAACCCACTCTCCAAGGCAGTTGGGTCCCCCCCGAACCAACTAGAAAGGGGCTGAATTAATCATCCATGGTTACATGCCCTGTCTGTCTGTCTGTCTGTGTGACTCTGTCCGTCGCACACACACTCCCACACTCCACTTCCTGACTCATCTAGGGCATTCTGTGTTGCTCCCAGCCCGTTCCCGCAGCAGAGCCCAGGGGATAATTGTACTGCTGTCTCACCGACATTCTGACAGGTACGAGCCCAGCATCTTTCCTGAGTTTCCTCGGGCGTTGGACAGGGGAGGGTTCAGCCGCAAGGGCCCCAGGGAGCCTCCTCTCTCAATGCATTTTCCAGAAGGGCACAGAATGAAGCCCAGTGCCAACTCTCAGGCCAGCTTCTGCGGGAGCTCCTGCCCTGTGACTCACAGCCCTGAATCCCTCACCAGGAGCTGCCACCATCAGCTCCCAGCCCAGGCCCCACGTGGCCGGCAAATGCCAGTGAATCCGCACTCAAAGGCCACTCTGTCTGCTCCTGCAGGCACGTGGGGGGCCGTGCCCACCACAAGCCGGACTCTTCCGTCTCGGCTCCTGCCAAATTTCATTTACATCTTGACGGCCGAGTCCAAGGGCAAGGTTCTTGAGGACACAGCTGTGGCAAAGGCAGGGGCCACGGCAGCCACTCTAAGGACTGAGCAGGCTGCCCCACCTCAATGCGCCGCTTACCTTGCCGAACTGCTCGAAATAATGCTTCACATCTTCCACCACCGTGTTCGCAGATAATCCGCCTACAAAGATTTTCTTTGTTCTTGTGACCATCTGCAAGAAATGACAAGAGGAAGACATGGGTTAACTAGGTTATCTGAAGCCACACTCACCGAGATGGTGAGCAAGCCACTCCCCACACTTCTCTAGAGAGGAAGGCGATGTTAGGAATATGCCAGCTGCACCAAGCGGGCCCTTTGGACGTCTCAGGATACCGGAGACCATCACTCTGGATACCTTAGGCCTTCAGGCTGCAACCTGAAAGCTCGAGTTTCATACAGATGGAGAGTGAACCTCTTTGGCTATAACACACGGCCTCACTGTGACGTTAAGTCACACGTCAAAACTATTTTAAACCTAAGAGACATGAACAAAAGAGAGCTACGTGCATAAAGGTCTGCTGCCCTGAAAGTACCCATAAAGTGTGTCCATAAGAAACTCACACATAATTCAAACCCACGTGCAGACTGCCTACACCGAGCCGTTCTGGGTGCTGGCTTATGTCTGCCAACAGGACAGACAGGACCTCATACACTGGGACCGCCCTCCAAGTCCGGCCCCCAGGGCTCCTTCCCCTCTGGATTTCTCACCATTCACCTTGATTTGTCCTACACTCAGCCAAGCTCAGCTGGTCCCCAGGTCTCCACACCTCTGTCCACGCAGGTCCTGCTCCTTGGGAGACCTCTCCACTCCTGCACCTCCCTTGCCAAGTCCTGACTTTCCTCCAAGATCCAGTGCCCTTCTCCAAAATTCAAAATACCTGTATAGTCACCCCACCCAGAAGCTGTTTCTCCTGCTTCTGAACCCCAGATGCTGCGCCCCTCTGCCTCTCACACACTCACTACTTTCCACCACGCACTGAAGTGAGTGATAATCCTGCCTTCGTTCTAACCTCCTCCCCCAGACCGAGGGCGGCTCCTGACTCCTCTCGGTACCCCCCAGGGTGCAAATACAGGGCCAGGCACACAGAAGTCCACAGCCAAAGTCTGGTGGATGCAAAAACAAACGAATTTCTGCAATGGCCACATTTCAGAATCCCACCAGCCCTAAAGCAAAGGGAGGAGGGAACTCGATGATGTCCACTCTTCAGAGTGGGACCAAAAATCTTACATGGAAGGTGAAAGACAATAAAATACAATAAATTTTATTCTGAAGACTAAGTTAGGCTGTGTGGGGTTTGGGGTTGGTTTTTTCTTTTTCTTTTTCTTTTTTTGTTCTTCTTTAATGTCAAATAAAAAATTTTAAAACTCAGTGGACACAGGGTCTCACCAGTTTGGCTGCATATAATAAAAGCACAACGTCTTAACTCAATTGGCTAGATCTTGTCACAATACATAATACATGCATACATCAAATCATCACATTGTACGCTTTAAATATCTTACCATTTTATTTGTTAATTACACCCCAATAAAGCTCTGAGAAAAAAATGTTTGATGAGAACACACAAAGAAAAGCAAGACTAAAACCCCAAACCCCAAAATAAATGAATGAGAGGAATCTGAAAAAAATAAAAAAAAAAAAAAAAAAGGAAAGAAAGAAACAGCCACAATGTCACACATGTCTATTGTAAGTCGATGCAGGGGGTACTTCCCTGGTGGCGCAGTGGTTGGGAGTCTGCCTGCCAATGCAGGGGACACGGGTTCAAGCCCTGCTCTGGGAAGATCCCACATGCCGTGCAGCAACTAAGCCCGTGCACCACCACAACTACTGAGCCTGTGCTCTAGAGCCCACGAGCCACAACTACTGAGCCCACGTGTTGCAACTACCGAAGTTTGCACGCCTAGAGCCCCGTGCTCCACAACAAGAGAAGCCACCGCAGTGAGAAGCCTGCACACCACATCGAAGAGCAGCCCCTGCTTAGTGCAACTAGAGAAAGCCTACACGCAGCAACAAAGACCCAACACAGCCAAAAATAAAAATAAATAAATAAACTTATGAAAAAAAAAAAGTCGATGTAGGTTGCCTAAGTATGGGGGTCATGGCTGCCTGGATCACATACCACCGAGTCTCCTGACACATGTGTGGAGAGAATGAACCAACCAACCCACTCCCAACAGTAGAGACTCAGCGGAGTGACACCTAAGGGCACAGCAGTCCCAGGCATGCTGTTCTAAGGAGTGTGAAAGGCTCTGGAAACCTGGCTTCTGTGTCTAAGTCTGGATGTGACCCTGGACAGGACTCGCCTGAGGGCTGGGTTCTGTGCTCTGCACATGAAGTCCTGGACCAGAGCTCCCTGCCCCGCCTAACCCTGAACTCTCCCGAATCTGTGAGCATGGTGGGCCCGACAGGGGGGCTCCCAGACCTCAGGGACCTCACACTTTAACTCAGCAGCTCCCAGAGGGGACACATGCCACCTCAGCCCGCTGACTGATCCCAGATCTGGAATACCCTTGTAGTGGACATCCTGTGCTGTCTCAGGAGGACACTGTCCTGGTGACTCTCATACATCTCACTGGCCACCATGCAGTGGTTTGCATGTGTGTTTAAAACTGTTGTTTACTATTTTTTCATCTCTTTTCAGATGAATGAGAAATTTGATGAGATAATGTACGTGAGGACATTCTATGAAGATCCCACCAGTGTCCACACCTCCGAGCTCCAAGAACCTCCGGTTAACTGGTGGGCATCTTACCCAGCTCCTTGTTCATCTCCCTCCTTATCCGTCTCCCTGCGTATCCCTCAGTCTCCCTGGTAGATCAAGGTCACCTACACGGTGACACTCCATCAGGCCCTCTCCAGATTTAAATCTCTCCCTACACTCACTAATCGCCAAATTTTACCCACCTAACTTTCCTAATGCATTCATTCAACAAATAGATCAAGTGCGAGGTGCTGGAACTCACATTCAAACACAGTGTGGAAGTTAATCCCCTTTAAAATGGAGATATAATAATTAGCCTACCACACAAGGTTCCTGCTGCAACTAAATTAAATAACATATGCCCAGGGCTTCCCTGGTGGTGCAATGGTTGAGAATCCGCCTGCCAATGCAGGGGACAAGGGTTCAAGCCCTGGTCCGGGAAGATCCCACATGCCACAGAGCAACAAAGCCCGTGCGCCACAACTACTGAGCCTGCGCTCTAGAGCCCACGAGCCACAACTACTGAGCCCGCATGCTGCAACTACTGAAGCCCGCGCGCCTAGAGCCCGCGCTCCACAACAAGAGAAGCCATAGCAATGAGAAGCCCCCGGACCGCAACGAAGAGTAGCCCCCGCTCTCCACAAGTAGAGAAAGCCCGCGCACAGCAACACCAAAAATAAATAAATAAATTTACAAATAACATGTGCCCAAGTGTCTGGTGGGACAGCGCGTAGATGATAAATAAGTGGTCACTAGCTGAATCCAAAGTCAGCTACTAAATCCGTCCTTCAAGCTCAGAAGAAACGTGCAGCAGAAAGATACCTTCTACCAAACACTTTGATAAATCAACTCTTATTGCCCATTCTCTTCCACTATCATTGCAAAAACACTTTCCTACATCTCTACGTGATTTCAGATGGGCAAAGACTCCCAACAGTTTCATTTTAGATTTTTCATTCCTTTTTTTTTAACCCCAGCCAAGCAATTAAATATCTATAACGAAACACTAATGTGATCTACAAACATGCACTCGTGGAGTTCTCAACTTAAAGAAACTCTGGAGAGGTATTCCATAAAATGAACCCCACGGTCTCATTCAGACATTGTGTAGAGCCAGGTGGGTATAGACAGCAGGCCCTATATATATTCCAAACGTTCCCATGGACGCAGAGAATTAAACGACCAACATGTCTTCATTCCAAATAACAGAAGTCAACAGAATGTTCATTCCCCAGTAACTGGTAAAAAGAGAAGGTCCCCTCTTACACCCTCCGCCGTTGCCCTACAGCCGTAAACCTGCCAAGACAGAGCCCTAAATGCTGGGGAAGACATCCAGCTATAAATCTACACAGTCCCAAAACAGTCTTTAAAACACTTTTTTTTAAAACAAGGATGAGAAATTCCAGGCCCCAGACAATGTGGCCAAAGTGTCCAAGTTACTAAAACATCCTCTCCAGGAACCAGCTCAGACATAGAGATAGATCCCCACTCTTCAGCAAACACTAAAAGGAGGCTGGTTTAATCAAAACCTTCCAAACGTGAAGAGGCCAGTGGGAAGATGGGCAACACTTGGTTACTTTGGGAATTCTGATGGCATCACTGCCAAATGGGCTGTGCACTGCCCCATGATTTGCATTCTGGAGAGGGATGCAGGGGGCAGGCAGAGGATGCTAGAATCACACACTCTTCCCTCTGTTTCCCTCCCACCTCCATGGCTCCTGAGGACAGCAGGAAGTGGGCAGCGTGGGGACGTGGTGTCCAAGGTCTCAGTGGACTAAACGGAGGTCCTCAAATTCCCATCAATACTGTCAAGGTTTCATTTCATTTCTGTATACATGTGTGTGTGTGTGTGTGTGTGTGTGTGTGTGTGTGTGTGTGTGTGTGTGTATTGGGGGTACCTCTCTATTCCCAATCCTTGAGTCTTGGCTTCTATGTGCCCCAGGAACCATCCAGCACCCCAGACCTTTAACCCTCTCTGACCCTGGAAACAGCAAGCAGGACCAGTTACACACTGGCCCCCCACTCCACAGCCCTCTGTGTTATAAAAAGTCCTCTCTGCCCACAGTGGAGAGAGCCACCTGTGTCTTCTTTCTGTGCTAGGCCCTTCGGGTAACTGTTTCCCAACACACAGCTGCTGCACACGAAAAGGCTCACAGCCTCCACAGCACACTTAGATGGAGAGAGCCACCCATCTGCTCCAGAGAGAGCTCAGTCCGAAATCCACAAGGAAATGGGTCTGAAACATCCTTGGCTTGGAGTTTTTGGTGGAAGGCTGCACCCAGAGCAAGGGCCCTACACCCTTGGGGACAGCCCCTCCCCTAGCAGATGCCTCCTTTTATGGTCTAGGGCGGCATTCTGGGAAGGCGTGTGTGTGTTTGTGTGTGTGTGTGTGTGTGTGTGTGTGTAGCACGCGTAGGGGCATGGGGAGGGTTCGGGCTGTCACAAATCACTGCTGCAAAGTTTTGTTATC